GTTTTGGTTTCTGACGGGTAAGTCTGGCTGAGTACATTCGAGTACTCAGGGTTTATCCCACCTTGTTGCAGGTGATGTTCTCGACCTGTTGATGATGGTGGCTAACCACCGGTGGGCTCGGTGATTCTATACTTACTTCTCATCTATATGCTTTTGTCGGATGATGTCACTATGCTAGCAATATATTTGGAACTTATATTAATGTAATCATTTGAAAGCTATGTTGTTTTCACTAAGCGGTTTTGAAACCCAAACTTGTACTATTATTTGTTAACCCCTTTGTAATATTATTTCCGCTGCAACCCGATGTATGTGATGTGTATTTGCTTAATCACGCGATCTTGGTTGTGATGTTGATTTACCGAGGTCTTTTGGGACACTCGGCGGACTACCGGGTTTATATGAGTGAAAGTATGGGTGTGTCAACGTGTTAGCGGGGACAACCATACTTGATCTTGTATAAATTGGGCGGTTCTGTCACAATATCCCCCTTGAGTCGCTTCTTCTTCCTCCTACCCTTGCCTACCTTCATTAGATCTGGATGCGTCACGTAGTCATAACCATGATATGGTGGCCACTGTGTCGGGTCAAGGTATGGCTCGAAGCTCCTCTCCCAAATACTAGCGGTGTTCGAACGGAGATACAAGGGTGACATATATGGCAGATCCTCATAGTTATACCCGCGAACCCTGCAGGCCATGATCATATGAGAGCAAGGGGCATACATGATCTGAGGGACGTTGCAACTGCACTCTACTTTTTCAAGATCAACTCGGTAGTTTCGTCCACCATAACGTTCACTGCTCAAGCTTGTGCCACCCTTGCCCCGTACACTAAAGATATGGCGGCGGGGTCCATATGGCTAGGCGATGTGCTGCTTGGCCAATTCCTCGGCCTCCTTCAAATGTTCTGCTCTGGCCTTTCCAAAATGCCCCTGCTCAGCTATATTCCTCTGCGCAAGTTCCCACCTCTTGATAAAATATTCATTGCACTTATGAAAGGAGAACTCAATAATTCCAGACACAGGCAACGATCAAACTCCAGTGAATACACGGTTGAAAGACTCCGAGGAGTTAGTGGTCATGATGCCATACCTAAAACCCCCCTCGTCATATGCTAACGCCCACTGAGCCTTCTGTTCCATCTGTGCCTCTAACCAGGCCTTTCCCGCTTCATTTAGCATCTTATCTAGTTCTCTCTTTGTCTCCTTGAACTGGTGCTCTATACGTACACAACATAGAGCATTTACCTTGTCACATACCTCTTTCTTCCTCTGACGCTGCCAGAAATTAGCGACAAAGTGTCTCATGCACCATCTATGCACTAGAGGTGGGAACCCATCTATATGCTCAGCTGCAGCATTAAGAAGCCCTGGGTGACGGTCCGAGATCAAACATATAGTGCGAGATGGGCCAAGCACTTGTACACATAGAAGCAGCATGAACCATGACCATGATTCATTGTTCTCTCCCTCTGCCAAAACAAAAGCCATGGGTACTATCTGGTCCTCAGGATCAACAGCAACAGCCATCATCAAGGTGCCCTTGTACTTTCCTGTCAGGAAAGTTCCATCAACAAGTACGACTAGTCAACAAAACTAGAATGCATGTTCCATTTGCGCAAACGACCAGAACACACGATAGAGGACATTCCTCAACGGGTCCCGAAAATACATCCCTCCGGTGTCATCAAACCATTTCAAGCCAGGATTGTAGTAATGCATTGCACATAAGATGCGGGGCACCCTGTTGTACGCTTCCTCCCAACTACCCCAACGAATCACCAGGGCAATTTGCTTAGCACGCCAAGCCTTTTCGTACTTCACATCATACTTAACGAATCCAGATATAGACTGTTGTAAAGAAGACATCAAAATGTCGTTATTGTCATCAACGAGCCTCAATATACGACGGGCAAGGTAACGTGCAGTGAGCTGATGATGATTTTTCTTCCCCCTATTTGTTAGGCAAGTGTGGGGTTCAACAACTTTACTTATCCTCCACTTGCCATCACTCTGTCTCTTTCGTGCATTTAACCTCTACATGCAACCGTTTTTGCATATCACGTGATACCTCAACTCCTGGTCCGAATGAGTGACGCTGTACGGCCTATAGTGATACACAACATAGTCCTGAAGGAAGAGCTTCATCTCTGACATTGTATTAAATATCATCCCCTTCCTAAGGATTTCTTTCTCATGGTCATATAATGATTTCCTACACATCTAGAGACCGGTGTCACAAACTGTCATATCCGTCATGCTGACATCCCTATAGTTTGGAACGCCCCTAAAAGTTACGTTCATCGACCTTAGTTGCTCAAGCTCAGTCGCTGTGTAAGGTGGTGGTGGAACATACTGCTGCGCTTCGCTAATTCTGCTCCATGAATCATAGGGGGTATCATCTACTAACAAATCTGTGACTAGTCTATCCTGAGCCTGGATAGCATGTAAAACCTCAGTTGGTACTGATAATGGCATACCATGAATAGGTACTGGCATGGCATCAGCTGGTGTGGGCATAGCATGTCTATCTCCCTGGTCATCATCTGAATCGTCTGAATCACTGCTAACTACATCACCGATCCTGTCCTCCTCCTCTTCCAGTTCGAACTCGTTCACATTGAAGTCATTGCTTATACAACCTACTTGACTTACATGAAACTGCTCCTGCGTCAACTGACCGTCCAAATCCATGTTACCCTGAGTTGCTTCCCATTCGACCCCCAATTCTTGCTCATTGCCTCAACACCGTCAATGGACGGCCCGTCCAGAACACCCTGCATCCTGTACCCATTCTCCACCACCACCTCAGCCATGGGCACATTAGAACCTTGGAGCACCCTAGTGTAGCGGGACCAGTGAGCAGGGTCGCGCAAGGGCATCAGGACATAGTGTGCCCTAGTCTTCCCAGTATCAAACCTCCCCTTCAGTGTGAAATCACCACCAAACTTTACATTCAAACGGACACAAAGGTCATTGAAGCTAGGAGGTTCATCAAACCATTTCAATTCTTCTTCCATATCCTCAAACATACCATCTTCTCTCCTAACACTTCCTCCGTAAAAAACTCTAACACAACAATCCATCTACAAAAGTATTTCAAGAAACTTCATCAAATCGTCGAAATCGTCGTACGTACTGTCCATAGTAATATTAATACCTATTCTAACTATAACTATACTAATTAATCTAATATTAACATCTATACAAGACTAACTACAACAACTAATTATACTAAATACAATAACTAACTAGACTCACTAATTGTACTAACTAAACTAACTAACTTTACTAACTATACTAACTTACTATACTGCCTATACTAACTAAACTAACTAACTTTACTAACTATACTGTACTAACTATACCAACTTTACTTATTGTACTAACTTACTATACTAACAATGTCGATTCAATCAACAAATACACTAGGAGAGTACCTCGCGGCAGCAGCGTGCTCTCGTCCTTGCGGCGGCAGCGGCACTCGTCCTCGCGGCAGCAGCGTGCGCTCGTCCTCGCGGTGGCGGCGTGCTAGACCAGGCCGGGAGGCGCGGGCGCTGGCCTCGGCGGCGGCGGCGGCGGGTGGACACGAGATAGAGAGAGGGGCGTGCGATAGTTGGGAGCGGTGTACAGCGGCGGTGCGACAGTGAGGGCGGCGGCGGGCGCGGCGGGCGGCCACCGTGCTTGGCCGGAGGGCGCGGCCGGCGGCCGGCGGGCGTGGCGCGCCGACGTGCGTGGGCGGGAGGCGCGGTGGGTGCGTGCGGGCGCGGCGGGCAGCGGGCCTGTGCGGGCATGGCGGGCGCGTGCGGGCACGGCGGGCGGCCGGCATGCGGGCATGACGGCGCGGCAGGCGGCCGGCGTGCGTGGGCAGCGGGCAGGGTGGTGGCGTGGCGCGGCGGTGGCTGTGCTTCTAATGGGTCACGTGTGAGAGAGAGGCCCGGCCTGTACAAGGGCCTGCCGTGCCGTGATGCGTGGCGCGACAGGCCCAACGCGCTCTGATCGGTGGCGCGGCAGAGTTGGCCACATCACCGGTCAGCGGCCCTGGTCGCTGCCACGTTGGCAGCCTCGGCGTGCCCCATGTATGGCGCGACAGTTTTAATTCGTCGCGCCGTGCGAATAGGCAAGGCCAAAAGTGTTAGATTTGAAAAAAATAATTTAAACAGTGTCAGTTTTAAAAATAGTTTAAAAAATATGTTAAAAATAATAAAAAAATCGCTGCTGCCAAGATCACCGGTGTTTCCCTGACCATTGATCCAAGCCTTGCCTCTGGTTCAGCACCCACGCTGTACCTTGGTTCTGTGTAAGTGATTGCAACCCATTGCAGGTTTGCCTCTATGATGAACTGCGCCATTTTTTTGTATCTTTATTATGAACACTAGCTTTGCTGTCTGTTTGTTGTGCTTTAGATTTTAACAGTAGTTGTGATTGAGTGGTTTAATGTGATGTCATGCTAAGTGCAAAAGGTTGCCTTAGAACACTAGCTTAACTGACATTGCTTTGTGTTACGAATGTAATTGTTGGAGGCTGTTTAGATTCCATCCTGGGGTTTGACAGAGCAGCTTTGATTCTTCTTTTTTTTTTCATCTCACTGTAATAGTCACGGTTCTGGAATTGCCCTTATTTTTATGTGAATAGTGGCTGTTGGAACGTAATGCTCTTTCTCAATCAGAGCAAATTTTTTTTTTTTTTGGTGAAAGAATTGTTGTACTCTTCTGATTGTCGATTATCTTTTTGGCAGTATTGTTTTTTGTAAGCATTATGGTTTCTCAAACAAGTTACCATTGATTCTGTGCAGTGACTTCATCCATGGTGTAAACACAATCCTTCGTTACATTGCTCGTGTTGCAATTGTTCCCAACTTCTATGGTCAGGATGCTATTCAGGCGGCACATGTACGTTTTGGTCAGTTATTTGCAATAAAAGTTGCTTGTCCACGATAGTGACGATTGCCTTGTTATTCTATGTTGTTGTCATCTGCAGGTTGATCAATGGCTTGAGTATGCCCCACCCCCCATCAAGCTCTGAATTTGAAGCCGCTTGCTCATTTCTGGATGGGTACTTGGCGTCTCGAACCTTCTTGGTTGGCCATAGCCTGTCAGTTGCTGACATTGTGGTATGGTCGAATATTGCAGGTGATTTTCATGTTTCTTTAATCGGTGCATAACACTTTAACTTGATTATATAAAATGCATATCCTGATCTTCTTTAGGAACTGGTCAACGATGGGAGAGTCTAAGAAGGTCTACAAAATATCAAAACCTTACTCTCTGGTTCAACTGCATAGCTGTGGACTATGCGGGTACACTAGATGAAGTAGTAGTAGCTTATGTTGGGAAGAGAGGAATTGGGAAATCACCTGCACCAAGCCTGAAAGAAAAATTCATGATCCAACTGAGAACACCCCAGGTCCTGAGATAGATCTGCCAGGTGCAAAAATTGGGGAGGTTTGCCTTCGTTTTGCCCCAGAGCCTAGCGGGTATCTTCACATTGGTCATGCGAAGGCTGGGCTGTTGAATGAGTACTTTGCAGATAGATATAAAGGTCGTCTAATAGTTCGCATTGATGACACCAATCCTTCAAAAGAAAGCAATGAATTTGTGGAGAACGTCCTGAGAGATATTGATACAATGGGAATCAAATACGATACAGTCACATACACATCAGATTATTTTCCAAAGCTAATGGAAATGGCTGAAAGTTTGATTATGCAGGGTAAGGCATATGTTGATGACACACCAAGGACGCAAATGGAAGTCGAGAGGAGGGCCGGTGTTGAATCAACATGTAGAAACAATACTGTTGAAGAAAATCTATCATTGTGGAGAGAGATGGTTAACGGAACTGAGAGTGGTATGCAGTGTTGCTTACGGGGTAAGCTTGACATACAGGACCCTAACAAGTCGCTCCACGATCCGGTTTACTACCGTTGCAACACTGACCCTCATCATCGTGTTGGTTCAACATACAAGGCCTACCCAACATATGATTTTGCTTGCCCATTTGTTGATGCGTTGCAGGGAGTGACTCATGCTCTTCGTTCAAGTGAATACCATGATCGGAACGCACAGTACTATAGTATACTTCAAGATATGGGTCTGCAGAGGGTGGAAATATTTGAGTTTAGCAGGTTGAATATGGTTTACACCCTTCTAAGCAAACGTAAGTTTCTCTGGTTTGTACAGAACAAGAAGGTGGATGGCTGGACTGATCCACGCTTCCCTACTATTCAAGGCATGGTACGTCGTGGCTTGAAGATTGAAGCATTGACACAATTTATACTCGAGCAGGTAATTGTGTAATTAGCTAATGTTTATGGCATTTTAACAATATGAGTGGTGTTCTTAACCTCTATTTTTTCTTTCTCAAAGGGTGCGTCAAAAAATCTAAATCTAATGGAGTAGGATAAACTCTGGAGTCTGGACAATCAATAAGAAGATGAATAGATGATTGACCCTGTGTGTGCAAGGCATACCGCTCTGCTAAATGACCAACATGTGCTCTTGAGTCTTACCAATGGTCCAGAGGAACCGTTCATTCGAATCTTACCAAGACATAAGAAATATGAGGGTGCTGGAAACAAGAATACAACCTTCACAAACAGAATTTGGTTAGAGTATGCTGATGCATCAGTCATCACCACCGATCAGGAAGTCACTCTGATGGATTGGGGAAACACCATCATTAAAGAAATCAAGACAGAGAATGGAATAATTACTCAACTGGTTGGTGAACTCCATCTTGAGGGATAAGTGAAGTTGACCAAGTTGAAGCTATCTTGGCTGCCTGATATTGAAGGCCTTGTATCTCTATCTTTGATTGAGTTTGACTACCTAATTACAAAGAAAAAGGTAACGTCTTCAAAAAAAAAAAAGACAAAGAAAAAGGTAATATACACTAACCCCATTAGAGACATTCCTTTACTACTTATTTGCTACAAAAGCTGTAGCTTGTAAAGTTTGGTGCCTTTTCACATAGATAAGCCATATACATTTCTTACCTGTATCACAGTTGATTATTTTATTTGTTGAAGTATTGAAGAACAACACCTAATACCCAACTTATCTTAGCAGTTCAATAATTTTTATGAACCAAATGGTCATAAAACTCAAGACAGTACTTGAAAAGCTTAAACTTTTTAGGGAAGTTGGCCATCTACTCAAATTTCATTCTGTATTTGTCATGATACATGGCAGTGGAAAAGCAAACATGTGGAATCAGGTTCCTTGGGCAAAATAATATTGTTCATCAATTAATTATGCTGTTTATTCTGTGGTTAAGAATCATCTACTTGTATATGTTATAAATCCTATTGTTTGGCATCTTCGCAGTTGGAAGAAAAGGATGACTTCGTTAACCATCTTAATCCTTGCACCACTTCGGCTCTTGGAGACCCGGACATGCGGAATCTCAAAAAGGGAGAGATCATACAGCTTGAAAGGAAAGGGTACTACAGATGTGATGTTCCATTTACTGGGCCGTCCAAACCCATTGTTCTTTTCGCCATACCAGATGGCCGATAACAGTCCCCAGCAAACTAAAGTCTCATATTGTTTTCCGGAGCACATGAATTACATGATGTTAGATTGGTACAGTAGTTGCAGTAGTTTTGATTTCTGGGCATTGTTGTTTAATTTGAATCGTGTTAGTCAAGATGAACTGCTTTTGTAACGATCAAAGCTTGGGAAGTCAGAATGCAAGATTACTCAGCGTTTTAATGTGGACTGTTATGCTTTCGCTTTGCATTTTGTGTGCAACTACCGATAGGGCCTGCACATTGTTGAATGGATGCTATGCAATCGATCTTGGCTGAGACAACTATGTACTAGGATGAGCGGCGTGCCTCGCTGCGCCCATACCCGTAGCGAAGGCTCTGGAAAGCCTGTGCTGTCAGCATTGATGTAAACGTCGCATACTTGTGCTGTCAGCGTTAAAAGACTCAGCCTGTTCGTTTCGGCTGAAACGATCGTGGATTATAAGCCAGAAGTACTGCTGGCTGGTTTAGTGTGAAAGAAAAATACAGTTACAACTTATAATCCACGATCATATAAACCGAAACGAACAGCTGAGTCTTTTAACGGCAGCCGACTATGAAGTGAGTTTCAGCAGCTTTCGCAGGACGCTGAGCATTCCTAGATGACCCGGCTTCCTCTTAAACTGATATCTGAAACTGAGTTAGCTAGTCAATTTCTTGATGAGTCGACACATTTATAACATTAATGCTTTTGGTAAGGAGATGACACGAGATGAAAGTACCCAATGTGTAAAATATATAACATTTCAAAATACCAAGAACTAAGATTATGGTCTAGGTTCTTATTAGAATACCCAAAAAACTTGCAAGAAAAGCTAGCTATGAGGGAAGGCCCAATTCCCCACCTCCTGGGCTCACATGCCCCTACATATATATTTCACCGGTTCTGATTCCTCCACGCAGTGCAGCAAGAGTCGATGCCGGGTAAAGCTGTGCCAAACAAGCCACAAACAATGGTTCTCTACTGTTTCAGTACAACGGACATCTTTTCCAGCTTTTGGAACAAAAAAGTAGAAAACACATTTTGCATTTCCCAGTCCTTTCGGTTTCGGAACAGCAACTGCGAACTCAATAACTTGTGTCTTGTGAGAGATAAAAGCTGCCAGTGCGATATGCCGATATCTACTGCAAACTTGAAACAAAATTCAACGCAGAACAGTCCAAGCAAGTCGTATTCTACATCAATATACTGCCAACAGCCCAACATAAAAGTCGGTAACATTAACATGCGAGAAAAGGAGCAATAGTCAGTGCAGCCCAGTCGTTGTAGCTGCTACATTTATGGAACCGAGAGGACGAGAAAAATGCCATCGATGCGTAAGCTTCACTTCTTCAGACTACCCTCAAGTCGTTCGATAGCAGCACCCACACGGGTTTTATTTCCCTTTCCCTCTGTCAAATCGGCTGATGGTTTTGAAATTGCAATCTCCAAGTTGGCCTTTTCTGCCAGCTTCAACTGTACCCAACCTGTAGAAGCAACCATTGAAAATTAACAGAAGACTTTGCTGGCTTGTAGCAATGTACAATGACCAAATAAGTTGTCAAAAACAGACCTACAGAAACACAAAGTTTGTGCAACAGACTCCCATACTGTGATGCGTGCACTTCAAATACTAACCATGATTTCAATTCTAGAACACTCTATAACAAAGAAACAATAGTTTGGTGCCAGATGAAAAGGGTATTCATCTACTGGAAGCTTTTAGCTAACAAATCAAATTGGAATCGGGGTACATATGAGGGTTTACTCCCCAATGTCAATCCAGTAGCCAAAGATGCTAGTGCAATTATCTAACTAGGAGAGTTTCAATGCATCCTATTACTGTCATGGAACACTAGGACATCTGTGACTAATTAACCATTCCATTATCAGCTCATATTAAGGAAGTAAGAAGATGACACAAACGCCCTTAATTGTTTAGTGCAGAGTGCAGAAATTTGTGCTTGAGTTCATGATGAGATGAAAATACCAAGTGGATAGCAGATGCCAGCACCAAGAGCAGATCCCACCAATACATTCCTTGCACGCCACATCATTGACCCTGGCACTGAATGTACAAATGTCAGTCCCGTTGAAGTCAGGATGCAAACCACTATCGCAAGTTAGCACTGTCACAAGTTGCACTGATTATTTCCATAGTAAATCAGAAGAAAATATAAACAATACCATAGGATGAAGGAACAGATAAAATAGAAACAAACCCCAAACGATATTTACAGTTTCTGAACATGCGGGTTCACACCAGTGTAATCCAGCAGACATCTTTTTATGAGCTTCTTACTCAGCCCAACTAGTACTGAGTTACTGACATAAAAAAAATCAAAGTATCTTCATAGATACAAAACTGAAACTAGAAAAATCTTGAAACATCTATTCCATGCTAGGCATTAGAAAACCACAGAAAGCCACCAAAGACAGAAACCTTATAGATGAAGACAAATGAAACATACTGGCAGCATTTGACATCGGCTTGCATTAAAATAGCCACCATTACAGAGGATTAAAAATACCAAATGCTCTGATTCTGCTCATTCCATAATAGTTCTTTTATGTGCTTCATAGTACTTCACATATTTCATACGATTACTCAAAATCATACAATGTTAAATCAGAACAATGCTTTAGGTATCTTTCCATAAACCAAAATTATGTTAGAGACAGAATATGGTGAGAGACATACATATAAGCCCAAAAGCAGCTGCAGTAGCAGAGCCAGCTGCAGCAATGTTGAATACATCATGAACTCCACGAGTATCGATAAGAAGGTTCTGTATGCCAAAGAAATTCGCAGTAAACATCCCTAGCCGAACACCCCCGACTAGTGAACCTTTGGCAACCCGGATGAACCTTTTCTCCATGGCATCTCTCATCAATCTATACTGTTCACGCTTGTCAGTGGTGCTTCCCATCTTCAGCATCACCTCAGCATCCTTACTCTGTTACAATACATGACACATACATTGCTTTCAGGGAAAGGCATTTTCAACTTGTAGCATGTTCACAATTCTAGGACGAGGATAGAACTATTCACCTAGGTTAAAAGGGAGATTGAGGTAAGTATCATATCTATTGAAGTTTTGGGAAGCTGTGGAAACCTAATTTCCATTTAAATATATTTGTAGATTCATCGGTACAGTATGGACTGTTATATATTTAATAGTTTTGCTTGATTGCAAAGAGGATTCTAGAATCATATGTGCGATCCCACAATGTCCGCTTCAACTAATGGTGAGATATGAAACATGAGATGATAGGACCTTGGTATGATTTTAGGAATGAAGAAAACAGCAGGAGAAATGGACAACAATACAAAATGGCCATTGAAGCATAGCAACAATTATGATCCACTTTATCTTTTGTGATTGGTTGAATAAGTCTGTTTGAAACAAGTCATCTAGCTAACATACTACCAGCTAATATAGAGTAACAGAACAAAAGATGCGGCAAGGAGACTAAAGTAGAGCAGCAACTTACGATGGAGGCGGAGGCCTCCCTGCTCCCGCCGTATAGCAGCCCAGCGAAGACCCCAACGAGCGTGGCCGTTCCCCAGTTCACCGTCCCCACTGCTGAAGCCCTCGAAGGTGAACCGGCAGTCGCCTCCGTCTCCTCCTGGATCATCCATCCGCACTCAGACACGTGAGAAGCGAAAAAAAAATGGCACAAAATGAGCGGGCTGCAGGCACGATCATCCGAACAAGAAGCACGAGGCGGCGGGGCTGACCGGAGGGGCAGGAGCAGCGGGAGGAGGAGGAGGGGGCGGTGCCGCGGGCTGGGCAGGAGGAGAGGCCGAGACGGGCATGTCGCGACCTCTGCGAAACGCGGTCGGCTAGGCACGAAATTAGGAGGTGATTCGGGCGCACAGGACCACAGGGGATACTTGCTGGACGAAGGAGGCCGGCGCCGGCTGTGGTGCGTCGCGTCGCGGCGGCGAGATCACCGGTGGGCAGTGGGGGCCGTGGGCGTCCCTGCGATTGATTGAAGTGGAGGAGCAATTGGGAGAAGGGGAACGGAGTGTGGTGTGGATTTTGCCCGTGCGCTGGGCTAAGTGGGCTTGGCCCGTGCGTGTTCGGTGTCTATTCTTGGTTTGTTTCCAACCAAATCGCCTACTTCGGCCTGCCTAGGCCTGTTTTTTTTTAGAGCTCCACTCCTTAATTCTACTTTTAATTTTTGACAGAGTGATTCTAGTTAATTCTAATGTGAAAGCTAGACAACGACCATATGAAAATCTAGAGTGATCTTGTTTTTGTTTCTTTGTAGTTATAAGTTGAGGCCACAATTCATGTATCCATCAAACTGAATTATGTTCACATTTTTTACATATATTGAATAATTGTTCAAACTTTTTTTTTTTGCAAAAAATGAGTCTAACCTTATTTAATAGAGTTTAACCTCTATATGAAAATTATCCCAAAAGTTATTTAATCACCATTTTGAGTTTGCTAGTAACTTTATCATATTATTATGTATTATTTATTTAACCATCTCTTTGGTATTTCGTCCATGAATTTATTTAAGGCTTATTAATGGAGGAACAAATTTACCCTTTTGCATCCTTAATTTAAATTGAATCATAAGGTTTGCCCTAGTTTTGTAAAACATGATGCCTTTTATTTTTTAAACTTGCTAGTTTTTAGGGTCTTTCTCCTATCTTGATTTATCATTAAACCTCTAGCTCTTAGAAATCTTCAAATTTGATGTGGTTTAATTTCAAGTTTAATGTAGGAGCTTGCTAGGGTTTCAACATGAACACTACAAATTGAGTTGACCTAAGGCTTCGCATTACATTTTTTAAAGAATTCTGTTTTAACTTCACATTTTTAGAGTTTCCCTTATGCAACCTCTTACTAATTCTCTTAACCTAATGTTTTGCTACATCAAGGCTAATGACAAAACTTAACACAAGGGGTGAAAGTGCAATCAAGCCCTAATTGTGGATTTTGGTGATAATGACCACGCAATTAGAGAACTAATGAGATTTATCGAGATGACAAGTAGAGAATTTATATTCGAGGATGCTACACGAAACGGATGAGCCCCCAATTACAAATGTAGATGGCTTCAAACTCAAAGGAGGTTTAAATTCTTTTATATATTGAATTTGAGTATAGGAAAAGCCGTACTATAAAGAGGATACAATGCTTAAGCTAATATGTGCTACCAAGTGCTTAAACAACCACATGCATCCTCAGATTCACAGCCAAGACAATCTACACTTCACTATTACCCTTGCTGTCTTGCGTGGTGTGGCACTACCGCACTTGAAGAGAGGCTCGCCCGACCCCTTGGTCGCGGGCTCCGGCTCTCCCGACCCTTTGGCCGTGGGCTCCGTCTCGCCCGACCCCTTGGGTGCGAGCTTCGTCTCGGGCGACCCCTTGGGTGCGAGCTTCGTCTCGCCCAACCCCTTAGGTGCGAGCTCCGTCTCGCTCGACCCTAAGGTCGCGGGATCCGTCTCGCCCGACCCCAAGGTCGCGAGATCGGTCTCGCCCGACCCCAAGGTCGCGGGCTCCGTCTCGTCCGACCTCTAGCCCATGGGCTCTGTCTCTCCCGACCTCTAGGTCGTGGGCTTCGTCTTGCACAACCCCTTGGGTGCGGTGTCTGTTGTGGGCTGAGGATATATATATATTATATATATATATATACCTTTTTCTTTCCTCCCCAACGGCTATCTGCGATTTAAGTGACCGTTGGAGGCTAGGGGGTATATATACCTTTCCCTTCCTTCCTAACGGTAACTAGCTCTCTTCTTCCTCACTTCAGCACATTAAAAAATAGAGTAGGAGCTCTCTCTCTCTCACTCCATTGTTGACCTCAAGCCCCCAAGCAAATCCATTGATCTCCCCATCAATCATTGAGGGATAAGGGTCCAAAACTCGATTAGAGAGTAGCTCCATTGATTCACAAACTCTAAAGAGCACTTGGTTCATGTTTTAGCCAGCGGTTGTGTTTGTTACTCTTGGAGCTTGGCTCCTAGCCTGCTAGAGCGTCGCCCGTGGAGCTTGCCAACTTATGTGGCAGCCCCGAGAGGTTTGTAACCACCCCTCATCTCAAGAGTTCACTCTCTTGACTTGAGAACGAGGTAGGGTTGCAAACCCAGCCTTAGTGGTATACCTCAACAATGTGGACTTAGGTAAGCTTTGGTGGTGAGCTGAATCATGGGATAAATTCTTATGTCATCTTGTGCTTGTGTTGCTACACTTGTGTTCTTGTTGTTGTTGAGGTGATTTCTAGAGTTTGAAGCCGATCTACTTGTGTGTGGTGTTTCCACCACTCTCAGCTGTCGATCTGTGATCTACTACTCTGCAGGAAGCTAAGAAATCTACCAGATCTAAATTTCTAAATTTCGTTGGGAAGATTTTGAACTGTGAAATAATCTCTCCTACAGGTGCGATAGTGCCGCATTCACAGAGCGGCAGTGCCGCGGGTGAATTTGACTTCGGTTCGAGTTGAATTTTTACAGGCCTATTCACCCCCCTCTTGGCGTACTAGAGATCCTACAAGGGGTGTTACATTCTGCATTCACCGCACCTGAACACCATCACCATCTCGCATCGTCTCAGTGATAGATGGGTCCTACGTGTCATAAGAAAAGTAGGGTCCTAATTTTGTGGCTATTGTTGAAGTTGAACCCAGAAAATGGGCACCTAGAAGTAGGATCTCCAAATCAAAAGTAGGGGCCATGATTTAGGGACTACTGCTAAAGTTTCTCTAGAGTTGCTCTTATAAGAGATGGAGTGCAAATGAGAGAGGGTGGTGAGACATCCACCCTTGTCTAGGACCAGGTCATTGCATCCACTAGACCAGGCTCACATGGATGAAAGTTGCATTTCTTTTTTCGAACCTAAGCTGACAAAGGTGGATGTATATACAGAGCATTGGGTCTCAACACAACTACGCCAAAAACAAAAAACAAAAAATCAATGATTTTACTCAATTTTTTACTATATATGCATCCTAATAAGCGCATCCCTTATATTAATTTGCCCTAACTCTGCCCCTAGAGCGGAGCACCAAACCAAGTTAGACAAGTAATCATAATTTATATATGCTCCGCAAAGTTTTGTGCCATCAGACACCATGATCAGCTTCCTCCATGTATTTCCAAAGGTAATAATTATACATTTCTATCTTCGTTCTAATGTAATCCCGTCGAAAAGCACGGGTTTTTATTGTATAGCCATATGTAGTTTCCGGTGTGTGGCCGTCATTGCGGAAAATATAACCCACATCACACGGATCCTACGTTATATACAATTTTCATCACGGTACTTCTCGTACGTGTTCTGTATATATAATAACAGATTTGTGGAGACACGCCTGCCTGGGGAAGAGTCGTTGTTCAAAGTATCGGATGGCATTGCCCGACACATCAGCGTCTTTGGAAGGGTGTTCCAGAGCAGCTCCCTACAGCATGCATCATGCATGCCACCGTACAAGATGGATCGTCTCCTCTTACACGGCCTTCCTCGTCGTACCCTACGCAGACACAAAAGGCATCCGATCCAGATGGAGCTAGGAGTAGTAGCTACATGCACATGCAAGCTCAGTTACCCGTCAAGCTGGCATGCACACGTGTACAGATCTTTCGCCCGCGCAAGCACGCACGCACGCATGCATGCAAATGGTGGTGGTGATCGACTAGTACGTAGTACGGTCAGCTTGGGTCAGAACGACGACGACGACATCCCTAGCCCAGCGCGCTTCTTGGCCTCGAGGGCCGCCGGCAGCAGCTGCTCGAACCTCTCCAGGAACGACGCCCACTCCGCGAAGCTCAGGTCGCCGAACGACACGTGCTTCCGCCCGCCGGAGACGGTTGTACCCTCGTCGACGCCGTCGCCGTCGGGCGATGGGTGTGGGAAGGAGGGCAGCAGACGTGGGAGGACGGAGTCGTGCACTTGCTTGCACAGCGCCTCGAGTGTGCTCAGCCCATCCTGCTGAGCCGTGAACTCGCGGGTCATCATGTCGCCGATGTCGGCGAGGCAGAGCCCCGCCGCGGCCGCGCGCTTCAGGAAGATGGTGCAGACGGTGAGGATCCGGATGGCGGGCTCCTTCAGGGACGGCAGCTCGGCGCGGAGCGTCTCGGCGTCCTTGAACGGGTCCAGCGACGCCACGTACGCCAGCTCGTCGTCAGTGAAGGGCAGGGAGGACTGCGGCCAGTGCAGCCACTCGAAGTACGGGTCGTCGAGCTGCTCCGGCAGGCAGAGGCCGTGGTCGATCGGCACGAGGTCTAGCGGCGGCGGCGTGGATGAGCCGCCGTGGGCGCACTGGAAGCTCGCCGGGTTCTTGACGAGGATGTTGCCGGCGTGGCGGTCGATGTTGAGGAGGCGGATGTCGAGGATGCCGACTCGGTGCACGGAGGCCACCGAGAACCGCGACGGGCCCAGCTCGCCGGCGTCGTACTCGTGCGCCACGAAGCGCTGGATCGACGCCACGGTCGTCGCCGTCGCGGGGCGCGAGATCTTGATCAGCGCGGTCGGCTCCACGCTGGCGAAGCCGTCGTGGTCGAGGAGGAAGGCGGCCACCTCCCGCAGCACGGTCCTGCTCTCGTACCCACCGCCGCTCGCCGGCGGCGACCCCGCGGCGGTCGCAGCGTCGTCGAGCGGCTTGACGACCGCGACGTGCTCGCCAGCGCGGCTGCCTTCAAGCAGCAGCGCCCCGCCGAGGCCGCTCTGCGCGGCGACAAGCCGGGTCCCGGACGCGATTGCGGCCGCGGCCTCCGCGATGAGCTCGCGCACGCCGCGGGCGTGGCGGCCCGCGACGATCTCCACGCGCGGCATCTTGCTCTCGGACCGGTCCGCGTGTTCCGAGCCGGCAGGCGCGACGACGGTCGTGAAGCACGGGGAGGACTGGCTCCGGCGCCGCGGGGACAGGCCGGTGTGGCCCCCTCCGGCGGCGGCGGCGTCGCCGTGATCCCTATGATCCCTGTCGAGCAGCGGCCTGTCGAGCAGCGCGACGGAGTAGAGGCTGTAGTGCCGGTCCCGCACGGCGGGGGGCTTGAGGTCGTGGAAATGACCGACCGCGATTGCCATCCTGGCTACCGAGCGGTTGTTGCCCCTCCGGCGCCAGTGGCAGCCGGCGGCAGGGCGGCTTCTTCGTATCATTTTCCATGCATGCATCCGAGGCACTTAATTAGAAATTCACGATTCACAGCAGCATGCAATTCGATCAAAAATTGACACCGTACCGTACCTTTGTTTGTGTTTGAGGCTTGTTAGAAGTTATTAGAACAGCATGTCAATCGAGAGGTACCTATAGCTACATCCAGAGCGATGAGTCAGTACCAGCCGTCGCAGCCGCTAAGCGACGGCGGCGGCGGCGGCGGCGGAAGAAGCGGCACGGCGTCAATGGCAGGGGCAGGCGCAGGCATGGATCGAGACTCGCTCGGCGGTGTGCAATGCGAGGCTTGATCAATTCCGGCGTGTTCTTGAACCGATCGAGCAGACGAAGGCTGGGAGAAGGGCGCGTGGAAGGTCGCTCCCCCCGCCCACCGCGCGCCGCCGCCGCCTGCCAAGCCGACCCTAGTTTTGATTTTTCCTAGTTATTGGCTAGTCAGTGTAGCTGCGTTCTTCTCCTTCCGGCGCCCTTCTAATCTCTTCTTCCCCTTCCCTCCGCGCGCGCGGCTGGGAGGAAGGAAAGGAGAAGAGGGAAGAAGATCGGAGGAGCAGCAGCAACGACTGTCTATTTTTGCACCCGGGACACCCCCGCGGCGTACATATAGATCGGGCGGCGCGACCCGGCCAATTTTGGCCTCCTCTCTAACCTCTTTCTCTCCTGCGCTGCTGCCATGGCCGCACCCCCGAGAGAGCCACGCGGCGAATGCAGAGCCTCTGGTCCATTCCGAGCCTCTGCTGCCATGGCATGTGGATGTGGCCAGCCGAACTTTGTGGGAAGGGAGGGAGTAAACCTGCTGACGACGACTGACTGAGACAACGGGCCCAAAGCGAGACCATCAGCCCATTTGCAGACCACAAGGACACTAAGCAATCTAGTGGAGTACATTCAAAACACACACCACTCCCTTTTATACCCTTTTCGATTTATGTTCTAGGGCCTTGTTTAGTTACCCTTTCCATACCCTCTCCATCACATCAATTTTAGATTTATATTAAATGTTCTAAAAAAAATAACTAATTGTACTACTTTTGAGCTTAGTTGGTCCACGATTGGACAATATTTACCAAATAAGACGAAAGTGCTACTATTCATCGGGTTGAAATTTCTTTCAATCTAAACAAGGCCTAGTACTACTATTTTTCGCGGGGCTGTGGCAGAGCCATCCGAATTATATGGCTCACATATATCTGTCATTGTCTCATAGACTTCTGACTGTAGCACATATAAACCACACAGTCCTGGTAGTCTGTCGGGTGTCCTCGGAAAACCCGAATCATCCACTTTTTCATTCCGAGCAGGATACATCACAGAAGATATTGTAGTATTACAACAGTTGGTACAAATACGTTACATCAAAGTAAATAGCGAAAGGCTTACTAACTACAAGTTTACAAATCATTCATTAAGATATTACAATTCATAAGTTTTAGCCAACTAAGCAGTAGGGTAGCATGACAAGTACCACTAGTAACACACAAGAGAGATTCACCCTGCCCAAGGGTGCACAACAAACTTCTCTACTGTTGGCTCTCCTCCTGCAACAAGGGTTAACAAACCCTGAGTATAAAGATACTCAACAAGACTTAACCAATGAAAAGAAAAGACTCCAAGGATATACAGGCTTACGGGGAATCAAGGTAAGTCTTTAGCAAGAATCAAGATTAACTTTTATAGAAAAGCTTACTAATGTTTGATCCTTACTTTAAACGTTTTAGCTTAAGTTAAATAATTAAAAGTCTCCAGTTTGCACCTAATCTAAGTCAATCACTTCTTTATCCATCTCATCATGTGATCATAAGTACTACTGTTTCAGTAATTAACTACGATGGTGCGAGTATCAAGTCTCCTGTTACTGTAGAGCAAACGACGATTCGAACCGATTAAACCTAGCTGGGGATTCCCAACCACACGACATATGCAGGTCGCGGGCCTACACATATCAACCCTCACCCAGATCCTCCAAAACATGAACGGGTCCGGCGCTACCCGAGAGCACAGTACTCCACCTCCCTGCGTCGTTCGTCCGTGACGGATTCACAGGATGTGTACACGCTACTCTCGCCATCTCTCCACTCCTAGTGTGCGGTTGGCCTTTCACATAATGGAATAGCCGAGATGTCAGGCTTATCGGAGTATGTGGCTGGTACTATAAAATCTTGATCCAAGGGCCAACAACGATCGGTCCTTAACCGACACCGGCGGGGCACTACATCAAGACTCCATTCTTGATGCAAGCAAAGAGTCCGCCCGGTTTTAAATTAAATTCATAAGCATCATTAAACCTCAGGACCAACCTTGAGTATGGAACCGTTACTCATTACTCATCTCTTATCAACAAAGCATGGCTATGCGTTATTAGACTACTATAGCTAACAGGGTGACAAGGATAAGTATTGGAATATCAAGACAGGAATGCAACAAAAGGTATTCAACCAACTCCTACTTACTTAAATGCAACAAGCATAAGCTTATGTGAATAGTATTTGTAAAACACAAGGAATTGGGTTATTCTCCGGGGCTTGCCTGCGGTGTTGGGGTTGTCAGGGATTTCAGAAAACCATAGATAAGATAACCAACTCCACTGACAAGAAAACCACTTCTGGGACTTGCTCAACAACAGGATTTTCACTCTCGATCACTAAGCGTAAGGAAATATACATGCTTTAGAATGATGATATACTTAACATGGATTATGATGATCAAACAAGATTGATTAACTTGAGTACAACTTTCCTTCACGGTAAAGTTAGGTTAACTACACACAAAGCAACATTGTTATTTACACACAAAGCGTAAGTTAATTATGAGTACACAATCATGGAATGTAGTTGCCAAGGGACAACAAAGCTGAGGTGTCCCAAGGTCTTCAATCAATCCCAAAGTACACTCAAATCATTTTATGATTTATCCTAAACATTTTTTGTATTTATTAATTAATAAATAAAGCATGGAAGTGGATAATTTATATTCATCAAACCAGTACCAAATTTTTTATGAAGGTAGGCCTAAGTATTTAAAACATACATAAAAAGTTTCATGATTAATGGTTACTTATTTTAGTCTATAAAAATCATGAAAGGTACATTTATCAATTAAAAGAGGTAATTTTTAAGCATGCAAAAACTATTTATTTTCATCATTTGATATTTTTCCTAGATATATCACATCATGAAGAGGCTACACAAAAAGTTTCATGATTTTATCACATCCCTATAATTTTCTATGAAATAAACAAGAATCAGCTCATTTAATCAATTTCTGAAAAAGATAAACCGGCACAGAACTTATCTCACCCACCTCTCCCGTACCCACGGTCACTGACCGACGGGGCCTGGTCAATAGTGCAGCGTGCTCGCGTTGACCCCGGTGGCGCCGCCTTTGACCGCCGGTTACTCGCCGACGGCGAGGTTCCCAACGGCGCGGACTACCCCAGCTACCTCCTCTCTCTATTCCGCACCACCCCTAAGCCCTAGGCGAGCAGCTAAAGCACCACGACGAGCACAACGATGACCACGGTGGACCGACGACGCTCCAGCACGGTGGGCAACACCGACGGTGAGGTCTCCGACCACGGGAATAGCACCAACAGCTTTTCTTCGACCTAATGGACCTAGGCATGGTGGCGGTTGAAGGGATTACAGCTTCACACGAGCACGACATCGGCCATGGCGACCACGGTGGTGCGGCAAGCGACGCGCCGGCCACTAACGACCGATAGAGGTAAAATTGAGGGGTTAGACAGCAACAGGAGCTCACCGCGATCATGCTGGATGTGATGATTGAAGCGTAGAAGAAGCAGAGACGGCTGCCGTCGTCGATGGCGATCACGGCGATGTGAACCCGGCGGCGATCACACGTCCCGAGGTGACCTAAATAGGAAGGAATTAATGGTCAACTCGATGAGCTTCACGGCATAACAAGGAAACCAGATAGCAAGCGAGGGAGCAAGAGCGGCTCTGGTGAAGCCTGGCCACGGTGAGGTGCGTACGGAGGCGATGGCGAGTCACCGTGGCGAGAACGGCATGCGTGGCCGCTCTGGGCGAAGATAGTCGATGCGAGCGAGCCAGGAGGGTACGCATGGAGTGGGCAAGGCTGAAGGCGTGAGCAATTGAGCGATGGCGCGATGAGTATGACGAATTCGACCAGCGGCGAGAGGTGACCGGCGGTGGAGTAGGAAGAGAAAGAAAGGAAAGACGACGGCCGGCTCGGCTTAAGACGACATGGCGATGTTTCTGGGCACGACACCAGCTGGTTGCTGTTGCCACCGCGAGCAGGTGTGTGGCCACGCGAGAATGAACGATGTGAGGGCGGCGGCCGGTTGGTGGTGAGCAGGCAGGCAGGCACCGGTGAGCACTGTTCATGCATGACAGAGTTTCTTCTTCATCTCTTTTCTCCTAATTCCATATGGCAACTTGAAAAACTCCAAGAACAAAAATTGTTCCTCTTGCTGAGATATACAACTTTGCTTGAAAGTCAAACTCAAATTCTAATTGGATTGAGATATCAGGAGAGAAAAACAGAGGAACTTTGAAATTGTTTTTCTGAAACTTCAGTTAGGGTTTTAGGAATTGGTTTTGTTTAGCTAAATTGGTGATCAATTAGTAAGCAAACACTACAACCAATAGCATGATCTCAAAGTACAAACTTCATACTTTGAAATGATACAATTGTTTGCAACAAGTTTATTTGTAAAATTCGTTTTAATAAATTCCTCAAAAATGAATTCAAAAACTATTTTTCAAGATAGACAAAATTTCTAAGTATTGGATTTCAATTTCTGATTTCAATTTTGAGGCTCAAATTTTAATGGTTTGAACTTGAATTTATCCCCAACATTTGTCACTAGTGTAAAGTACACATCTTACACTTCAAAATTTATTTGGGCATATTTTCAAGTATTTTTGTGAAATTAAAA